TCGCCCGCCAGCCGGCCGCCCCGACACCTCCGCGCTCAGTAAAACCTTCGCCTAAAGCGTTTGTGCAGTTGCCCGTCCCACTCACCTGTAACCGCTCTCACGTTAAAAAAAAAATCTTTGACTTCTTTTTTTCTGACTTCAGCGAAAATCCTGCTCCCGGTGCCTTTAGCCCGGTTTCATTCATCCAAGTTGTGGCCTTGCTTGCGCCTTGCGAAGACTTTTCTCCCCCAGCTTTTGATTGATCTTGAGGTAGGGGCTTTCAGGTTTGAAGGGATGGTAAGCGAACCAGCAGCCCGTTCACTTCAGGTGATGGCACAGCATTGGACAGGGGTCGGCGGCTGGAGGCAGCTCTTCATCCTCTGTTCTGGGTCAGGCACTCCTCAAGTCGTCGCCGAAATCCCCATTCTTCCGAGAATTCGGTAAAGTAGTGTGGTGTGTGCTCTTCCCCCTCCAACCTCCAGTGGGTACAATAAAAAGATAATCGTCGCCCCTTGTGTGAACTTTGGAAACAGTTTTCTTTCAACAGAGCTCTAGGGATGTTACACATTTTATGTTTGCGTTAGGCTTTAGGTTATCTTTGAAGAGTAAGTTTGTTTGAATTTAACCTGGGACCCTGGTTCTAAACTCTTACTGAAAACCAGCAGTCATGGAGCAAGAGGAGATTGTTAGAAAGTATGCTTTGCACAGGGTCAGCTGGGAAAAGACACCAAGGTTGTTTGATCAGGTCCAGAGAAGGCTGGTCAAGCATGCCTTTGTGGCCTTAAGCTTGTTTTCCCCGCTTTTGGGAGAAGATTGTATTTAGCCTCTTGATGGCTCTTGCTTGGCTTTCCTCCCTCTTTCCAGGCATATACTGTTTAAAAAGGGTAGGAGCAATGAGGGAGGAAAGCAAGTCAGAGTGGAAGCATTTTTAATTACGTGGAGATTGTTGGAGCCCTCCCTTTAAATGCTTTTTAGGTAATGTTATAGAACCTGGGAAATGTCAGAAATTGCTGAAATTCCTGTTGTTTACCTTCCTTTTCTTAGGGAGGGAGCAGGTGATCACTGAAGAGGCAGTGTGTAGGCATATTTGTTCATTCCATAAACCTTTGAAATGAAGACTCTGCACTCTGGTTGACATGGCTGCAAGTATATTGATTAAATGTATTTCTTTCACTATGCTTCTGGTATTGCTTTTTGTGTTCTGTAACACCCAGAATTCATAATCTTCAGTGGCGCATACAATTTTCACTCTAGTTCAGACAAGCCAGGTTTTCTTTGGTTAAAGTAAGTACGTTCCCTAAAATTATTGCCTGAGGACAGGGTACCAAAAAAACAAAAAAACTTACAGAAGATTAATCAAGAACTCCCCAGAAGGGAGGAGGAGACATCCATGACAGTAGATAAAACTGTTGAGATTGTATTGGGGTCCTTGACCTAAATACACTCCTCATGTTTTTTGTTCAAGAACTTATCTCTGAGCTGGTTGTAGATATGTAACAAACACAAAAATTTAGATTATCAACAATTCTGGTTACTTTCTATTTAGGGAAATTATGCTCTAACCAGAATGAATTACTTGGGGGAAAATGAATGAAAGTTAACACTAGGTTTGTTTAGCTCATGCTATCACTGAACTTGATCACCTGTAGTAGGATCTGAGAAAACCTTATTTCCCACCTGAGTCAGTTGGTGCTACTGCTGTAGGAAAGCTAGTGTAACCCTCAATTCTAAGTTGCATATCTTTTGTTTTTTAGATTGTGGGAGGTTTACTTAACAGTGTGGCCCTTTGATAGTGTTCACCCTTCCCTTCCTTTAGTCATGTATATGTCTTGGAATTGAGGAAATACATTAGGTAATTTTTATAGCAGATAGAGGAGATTAGAGACTACTTTTCCCAGTACTTTCTTAGGCACCCAAGAGCTATATTCTTGTTTCTTGCTTGTCGGAAGAGGAGCATTCCTACGGGGGGGGGTATGTTTACTTTGCCTGTGCACTTTTATTATTTTTATTTTGACTGATCTCTACCTGTGTTTTTTCATATTGAGCTTGCTGAGTTTTTACATTAAGAGAAAGTTACATGTTGAAACTTACAACGTCTCTATTGTAGCAAAGTCACTTGTGGGAGTTAACATGGAAGCATTTCAACGTGCAGTATATGGAATAAATACTTCCTGATGGTGTAAATTTTAGTCACTCAGAAGTTCAATGTCATCTTTTTCACGTTTTGCAGTAGAGAACTGGTTATGAATCTCTGCTTTTGTTCAACTTGCTGATTTGTGCATTCGTGAATGTAGATACCAGTCTACCCAAAAAGAACTTTATTTGCAGGTATCATTTAGATTGAGTTTTCATATGAATGTATAAAAAAGTTGTAATTTCTATATTCTCCCAATTCTTTAACATGAATAGTAGGTAAAAGTGTATATTCCAAAAATGACAGTGAAGTAATGAATATTGTGAAACCAGGGCTTTGAAGGTGATGACAAGTCATTTGAAAAAATGGTTGGTTAGACCTTATTTATAGAAGTCTCCAGAATAAAGATTTTTGAAGTCTTATTACCCCTATATCAAATAACATCAGAAGAGTTTGTTCACTACTGGAAAACAAAGTATTCAAAGACGGTAATGTGGAAAGACATAACTGCAAAGACCAAGACTTCATATTACCAGTCTCATCTCAATAGGAGGAAGACCTTTTCTAACAACTGAAAAAGAAAAGGATTGCCTGTGAGATGGTGAGTGCTCTCCTCCACCTTGACGCCTACATTGGGAACTTTGAGGTGGACAGGAGAGAAGGTGGGTGAGCTCTGACACTGGTTTTGGATTTGCTTCCTGTGAATCTGGGAAAACAGCTGATCTTTGATTTTACTTTGTAATTAGGTTTTATTAAAGATTGGTGTTTAATTTCACTTAGGCAAAAACTGATTGCTAGTATATGAGCAGTAACTACACACTGGGGGAACCTAGAAAAACTGTAGAAAACTTAGTAAAAATATTTTACACCTAGAATGAGTATAGAAAGAATTTTGAGGAGAAAATGTAGTACTTAAATATTTGATCACTTAGTTTAGGATCACTTTAATTATCATCCCTTATTCTATTTGTTTAGAAGATTATCACAGTTATAGGTTTGTAAAAGCTCTGAGAAAATATTTTTTCTGAAATCACTCAGGAATTTAAAAGAACGGTTAAATAACTAGCTCAATTGCTAAATAGGTGTAGTAAACATATCCTCTTGTATATGTTTTTATAATAGAAAAATACTGTGGAAATTTTAAGTTGTTGAATGATAAAGTTACTATGTTCAGTACTTATTTTTAATTTCATTGCAAATCAGGTTATAGTTTAATTGAAGTCCTTCATAAGTAAAGAGTTTTATGTTTGTAGTTTAACTTAGGATTTGGTTTTATTTTGATTCAGAAAAATACAGTGATAATTCAGTTTTGTAAAGGTAGAAAGCAGTAGAGTTTCTAATTGGGCAGTGAAGTCTTTCTCTTTCTGTTCACTGAAGCGTTTTTGATTAGAAAACCTAGCTGTAGTTTGTTTATTTTAGAATCAAATCCAGTTTAGGATATTCTGCAAGTACTACCTACGGAATGTTTGCTTTTAGATACCTTTGGAAGTATAGGGTACAATGAACTTAATGTATGTGGCCAGCCAGCCTACACATTGAAGCTTGGCTTGCTTGACAAAATTTGATAACTAGGAAATAGTAAAATTTCTGCTGTTAGTTGATGGGAAACTTGAGTTCAAATGGAAACATCTTCTAGTGTCAGATGACCATGTCAGTCTTTTTTTTTTCCTGTCACGGGCCCTCCCTGAACACCTTAGTTCCTATCTTTTGTAGTGTTGTCTGTGTGAAATAAGATAATGTAAAATAGTTATCCAGTAATGAAAGGTGGGAGCTTTTGTGGACAATGTTATACTTTCATTTGGTATTAAAGTTTTCTTGGGTTACAGCTTATTGCCGCGGCAAGTGATTGAAGAAGGAGTCCTGTTCCTGCCCCTGAGCTACAGCTAAGGTGCAAGGAGTGGCTTGGGGGTAAGGAGTCCTTCCTCACCAAGTAATGGTTTGTATGTATGGAGACTGCTTGTCAGACTTTGACATTCTGCCTTAATATTTTTTTTTTTAACTATTCATGACTTGCACATTCAATATTTATGATAGGTTTTTAAAACCTTAGATTATGTCCTGTATTTATATACAGTTTATTGAATCTTCTTTGATCATAAAATCATCTTCAAATGTTCAAAAGCAATGAGCTAAATTTTTAAGCAATTAAAAAACCTAGTGCTGGGCTGGGGATTTAGCTCAATGTTGTGCCGCTGCCTGCCTCCCACGTGCACAGTCCAAGTTCGATCCCTGGTACCAAAAAAAAAAAAAAAAAAAAAAAAAAAAAAAACCAACCTAGTGCCATTGCTATGTTTGTAGTACATGTATAACTCATTAAAAGAAAATTAGAGTACAGAAGTTTGATTTCACGTGAAGAGGGAAGGAAGGATAGAGAAGGAATGATACATTGTGCTGTGATTACTCATATCTACAATAATTTATTGCAATTTATCAGATTTTTCACTTATTTCCTGGCTTTGTGTTAGAATTCATTTGTGATATTCTCATGGTTTTATCTGAGGTAACAAGTACCTCCTTTTAGTACTTTTAAGAAGCTATGTTCTTAAACCAACAGGAATTATCAACACATGTAGTTACTCTTAGGAATCAGACTTCAGGAGTTAGTCAAATGAAAATACAGTAAGTCAATTTATCTAAAGGAAAAACTCTGCTAAGGAGTTTGGAAAGGGCCAGTTAATCCAGTCTTACCCTGATTGTTACTCGGATTGGCAAACTGGCTCACCTGCCAGATCTGACCTGACCTCTCTATTTCTGTGGCCTGTAAGCTAAGAAAAGATTTTACAGTTAAATAGTTGAAGTCAGAACTATATTTTATGGCCTTGTGAAAATTATATAAAATTCAAATTTTGTAGTCCTTGAATGAAGTTGTATTGGGACACATCCCTGTTCATTTATGTTTATTATCTGGCCTTTTACAGGAGAAATTTGCCAGCCCTTGATTGAGAGTGTTAAGTATTTCACTTGGATTTTTATGGTGCTATTTTCTAACTTCTTCTTTGATCCTTCTCTCTCACTCATGGGTGATTTGCTATTTTCCTAACAAGCTGACAACTCTAGCTTTTCCCTCTGTCTTCTGTGCTAGCGGTAGCCTGCTAGATGGTTCAGAACTTAATGAGTTGTCTATCACAAAACTTCCCTCTGTTAGTGCTTCCTTTATTTCTGTTCAATGCTTCTCTTCTGTCATCTCGTGTCATTTGATAAGTCCACTTCTTTTTATTCCTGTAGTCTCAATCCCCTGTAGACTCTTCTCTGCTTTAGTTGAGCTGTTCAGCTGTCTCAGACACTTGGAGTTTCTAGGCTGGTCTCTTCTAATGTACCACTGAACGGAGGGCAATAAATACCCATAATGCACTTGGAGTACAAATACATTTGTTCTTGAGATACTTTAAAAGAATTAAACAGATAACATTTTTGACAAGGAAATAAATAGTGTTGTATAATGAAGGCTTTCTGATTTCTCCGAGTGTGTCAACACCATTGCCAAATTACTTCACACTTTTCTTACATTCAGAATGAGGTCTCTGGTATGAATCTAGCTTTTTTTTTTTTTGCTTCTGGGGATTAAATCCGAAGCCTTGCACATGCTAGGTAAGTGCTCTTGCATTGATGTAGGACCCCCCCCCATCTTTCTAAAAAATTTGAGACAAGATGGCATTGAACTTGACAATCCTCCTGCTTCAGCCTCCTGAGTAGTGGGAATTACAGGACTAGTTGGAAATATGGTTGTGTGCCATCAGCCTCAACCTGTTTTCAAAATCTGGCTCATTCACTTTCTTTACTTCATTACAACTGAATAAACAAAGCTGCCTCAGCACCTGGATATATCATTTGCCTTTTCTTTCTTTGGTTTCTTGCGTCACAGTGCTTCTCTGAGTGTACTCCCTTTCCACATTACCTCATCATCATCACGAAAATCTGCCTCAGTTTCATTTTAGCCTAATACCTAAAATAGGACACTGCATCATTTGGAGTATAAAGTCTGATCTTTACTTTGGCTACATAGTGTTTTTCTGTCTCACGTATTTTCTACTTTGTATTAACAGTTAATTTGTGGCTATCTTCTTTGCTAGATTACAATTCTTGAGGGTTAAATCTTTTTATTTCTATCTTCTGCTGTACTTTGTGTATGTGGTAGGTGCTCACTTAGCTCTCTTAAGGGTTACTACTCTGAACCCTGTAACAGTTCTGTTATGATATAGTATGTTGACCTCTTGTGTTGGTACGTTGCTTTAAAATCAGTGCCCTTTCCATGGACTAGGTGAGTTGTATGCTTCCCAGAAGTGATTTCCAAGACTATTCTGTGGTAGATAATTTTGTTTTTATAACTTGGATATCATGTGACCTGATGAAATGAGTGCAAACAAAATTTGTTTTCTCTGAAAACCAAGTTATATTCTTTGGAAAGAATTGATAAAAGGTGAGTTGTTAAAATAATGGCTGTAGGATTAGATGTGGCTAAAAATTTATAAGAAAGTATAACAGTACAGGGTTCTTTGTGTAGACTGATATACAAGGATCATTGAAAGCTTTACACTTTTAACAAACCTTGAACTGGAAATTGGATGGTGCTTTTGTAGATGACTTAGATCAAGCAGAAGGAGCTTCAGTCAGCAGGAAACTCCAAATCATCAATACCATTCTCCAAGGCCTCTGGGCCCCATGTTAAGGTTGGCAAATGAATGTACATTTGTGTGTTAAACTTGAGTAAAATGTTGAAGGTACGTATGTCTGTTTTTTTGATTGAACATGATTGTTTTCTCTATGAAGACTTTTGCTTCAGTATGTGCTCTGATTTTTTTCTTCCCCTAAATGAATAGAACAACATGGGATCACAAGTGAAGATACTGGTTGTGTTACGTTGGAACAAACAAACAGTTGTCATTGGGAGACCAGAAAGAGCGTTAGAGGGAGATGAACCTGTTTTTGGGTCCTAGCACCTATCTCTTAGCACCTTAACCATTTTGGTTCCTCAGTTTCTCATCTGTTAAGTCGGTATAATCCTTATTGAGGGCTTTTGAAGATAAAGTGGTAACATGACCTTGGAGATAGTAAGTATTTGATAGGTCATTAGAATGGCTTTGTGATATCAGGCAATTACTGAGCTTCATTGCTTAGTCTCCCATTATTTACCAACAAGACTCCAGAAGATTGAATCAAACCTGCAATACAGTTTTTGCTCAATATTTGAGTTAGTGATGTTGGTATTCACCACTCCACTGTAGTCTGTTACTGCTATGTATGGGCCTGGTTTCACACACTTGCTCTCCACTAGATATCCAGATTTTATAGGAAATGATTATTAACATGTTGACAACTAGTCCAAAAGTATTTACCTTGGGCCAAATGAAATGAATATAAGTTAGATACGGCTCTCATTTTGTAATATTTCTGATTTAGATAATTGGCTCTATATGGACTTCAAGCCTTTCTGTATTTACACTGATAAAACCCACCCTTTAATCAGTTGTTGGTTTTCCATAGGACTAATAGGAACCAGTAAATGGCCAGCATTCTCTTTTTCTTTGTTTTTGAGTTGGGGTTAGAATCCGGGACCTTTACACTGAGCTTATTTTATTTTATTTGAAGCAGTATCTTGCTAAGTCACTCAGTTGCCCAGGCTGTGTTGAACTTGTGAACCTCCTGTGTTGACTCTAGAGTGCTGGGAATACAGGTTTGCACTGTCACTCCGGGCTGCAATTTTTTTTTTTTTTTGGTACTGGGGATTGAACTCGGGTCCTTGGCGCTTGCAAGGCAGGCCACCGAACTGCTGAGCTAAATCCCCGGCCCCTCGCAATTCTTGAAAGTAATACCAATTTCTAGTTTGGGATTGTTGTGTTATGTCTGTCCATTTAGGCTACAGTATACATACAGACTTCAAAATTGCACATGACTGAGGTATGGGACAATTGCTATCAGGACTTGATATTCATAATCTTCAAATGCCTAAATCGCTTATTTTAAGCATGTATTAATACAGTTTGATTTGTGCCTATTAAGAATTTAGAGGGTGGAAATACTGCATAGAGACAGAGATAGTAGCATATTATCCACAATCCCTGGAAATTAAGTATTTGAAAGAAATTCAGCTTTCTAGAATAAGGGGATTGTGATAATTTTTTTTTTTTATTATTGGGCTTCGTGTTTCTGTAGAATACAAACCAAGTTTATCAGTTTTTCTTTTTTTTTTCTCTCCCAACTCTGCTGACCTCCAGAAATATAGCAACAAATTATAAATTTAAAACCCCAGATTCAGGTTCTCATAACATATCTTTTGGTCCACAGTTCTTCAGTTGACTTGTTCCTTTCTGTACTGCAACTGTTTTTATTATGATTACAGTACCCTAGTTAAGAGAATCCTATCCAATTTGGGAATGCCTCAGCAGACACTGGTATAAATAAGAGCTTAAAGATGAAATTACAAATGAAAACATAAACTAAACTGGCACTTAGCCACTTTTGCAGTGGAATCAGGAGTTCTTGTTTTTTTGGATAAGACTTGAGTTTTTAAAATATTCTCCTTGACATCTCCCTGGCTAGAAATGCTTTGATTTTTGTCAAGGGAAGAAACCCCAATGCAGCTGCTACAGCCAGATTGCTGTGGATGGATGTAGTCTAGTTGGAGATCTACAGAGGTGAAGAAAAATGCAGTGCTGCACTAGAGGCTGTTCAAATCATGCAGTCCTCGTTCTCTGTTAGAAAAGTGCAGAATCAACTAATGTCATCTATCGTGTTTTTAGTTTGTGTTTAGTTGCCCATTGTGGGGATTATGAGTATAAACCATCTATCTGGTACTGGTTGTCATCCAACTTAGATTGGTGAATAAAAAGCTACATTCAAGGGTAGGCTCTTTGTTAGGTGTACTTATTTTTTACTTTTTGAATTGCTTGACCTTTTTTTTTTTTGGTACC